TTAGTTTCCTTGCTTTCAAATTTTAATGATCGCCTATATCCTTTCAGCAGCTTTGGCAGTAAGTTTTTTCTGCCACCAACTCCATATACATATATATATATATATATATATATATATGTATGTGTCTGTATATATATATTATGCCTCAGACGCTGTGTCTGGCATAACATATATTATCTTTTTTAACCGTTTGTAATTTTGCCAAGATCTATGTGTTCTGCGATTGCAAAGTGCCTGTGATGGAAAATAAAGAAAACTTGTTCTATCTTTTCTAGTTACTTATTTAAGTATAATGTATAGCTGCTTGTGTTGTCTAATCAAGACGCAGTCAATCTAGGCTTTTTTTTTTGGGTGCTTGAAGCAGTCATGTAATTGGCTTGAAAAATGGCAAAGCACATAACGGCCGTTTTCTGTTTCCAGAGATCTGGCAAATCTACTAGTTAAGCAATTTTATGACATGACTGCTCCAATTTATTGTCTCAAACTCATATTTTGTTGTCTATTATGTCTCTATTTTTGTTTCTCTTTAATCGATTCATAAAAGGCATTATACTTTCTGTCTTTTAGCCTAATATATATATATATATATATTAATTAGAAGTGTGCATGTTTAAACAAACACATACATACAATATATACGCACACAAATTATATATATAGTCATGCAAATTAAGGCCTTATTCCATTATATATTTATCTTAATATATATATATATATATATATATATTTAAGTAGGCTTGAGGGGCGAATCCAAAATGTGACAGTAGGGTCAACATTAAGATACACTTAAATTGCAGTATCACTTTAGAGGCTCCTAGGCTTCCGCCAGCAATGATACTCTTGGTAATGGAGATCGTTGACACGCCTCACTTTTGCTGCACACATTATGAAAAAGCATAAAGATAATTAATTTATCTTCTTATATATTTATCTTTGCTATATATATAATTATACCATAAAAATTAGTTAAAAGTCCTTAATCTAAACATGCAACATTTTCTTTTTGTAGAATCTAAACATGCAAACCTTAAAGGATTTGCACATGTTATAGGTCAAGTTAAACAAGAAGAAAAGCCAAAGAAAAAAAGATAAAAGTTTCAAAAGGTATGGATGTGATCAATAATGAGTTATCTTGGCGATATGCGGATCATATCCAACTTATTTTTGTCTATTCTGTTTGGTTCTTTTGGATAGAATAATGAGACTTGAAGAAGATCATGATAAGGTTATAAGTAATAATCATGCACTCCATCACAAAACTCTCGTTTATGCCCAATCAAATGGTAATAAGGTAAGATATATAATGATATATACGTTGCCATAATTAAAGAAAAACCTGGTGTGAGTGAAGTAAATGAGACCCACCACGGCACTACCCATAATTAGTCTACAAAGTCTATATATCTATAGATGACAGTGATCTGTGTTTCCACAGTGTATTAAGTACTGTATCGCTGCGTAATTTAGTTTTCCAAATTTTTGGCTAGCAACCATATCTTAATTTCATTTTACTTATATATATATATATATACACACGAAAGAACAACTAGAGTGGAGGGTTTGATATATAACGGGTTACTTACAGCCCATTTGGTTTAGGTTTTGAATAGAATTAAAATTTTCGTGAAACAAAAATTTTAGTAAATAGACTTAAATTGTACGTATAGTTTAAATCTACGCACTAAACAGTATTGTAATGGGTACCAATCTAGTCAGCATGTGTTAAATTTTTTTAAAATCAGTTTTATTTCTTTCTAATAGTTATAATATATATGCACACACACATGATTTATGCGAAGGAGGATCAGCAGATCTGAAGCGACCAATGGAAAAATGTCCGTGTGAAAACGAAAATCAAGAAAGGAAAACGACCCCTCAATTCAACAAAATCAATGTGGCTTCTTGGGGTAGATCACGCGGTTGGAGGGGATCAGAGAACACCCTCCTCTTATGGCAATGCTATCATTCACTCACACCAGGTTTTTATTTATTCGTCTCATTCACTTGTCTGTCTTTTTATTACTTCTCCTGCTATAAACCCACGTTACATCTTTGTCACTCTCTTTCTCTCTCTCACACACACACATGTAATAACCACAAAGATGATCATATATATCAGCGCTCTCTCTCTCCTTCTCTGTCACACAGTGAATATATGTACGGCCGCTAGCTAGTATGCCTCCCCTCTCACAGAACTGGTTTTTTGCTGAAATTTCATGCATGACTACTGTGTGTCTTTTGTGAAACACAGAGACGTGGGTTATCTTTGTGCTTTGCATGAGAGAGACCGGTTCATAATATCGTTGAGAACTGTGACTATATTTATATATATAATATATATATATATATATAATATATATATATGCTCCATATATGTTATATAATGATAATTCTTTGGTAAGGTATATCGAAAATACCAGTAGGGCACTGTTTCAAATCGACAGTCTTTATTTCAATTATACATATAGATATTTTAATTTGATGTATTTTATACGGATTGTTTAGAATTAGACACCCTAATTTTATACTAGCAAGAATAATAAAATCACATAAGAAAAAAAAAAGAACAAGTAAATTTGTAATGGTTCGCACTTTTAATGTGAGAGAGCTATGCTCACTTTCATTAGCTGCAAAAAATGTACACTACAATGAATAAGAAGTTTATAAATGAAAATAGCACACATATCAACTCTCCGTGTTTTCTCTGCTCTCTCTAGTTAATCCTAAAGTCAATTCCCCTAATATGTAAAAGAAATTAAGGCAACTTAAATTATAATTGTGGAATCTCCAAAGTACTGCGTTGTTACTGCGTAAGGCAATCAGAAATAATTCCATAACTTAACAAATCTAACATTACAACAATAGAGTACAATATATAAGAAGATCTTATAATATAAATATGTAAGAGGAACAAAAGTAAGATTATTTATAAACCGCGTTTGTAAGATGACAAAAACATAAAGTAACACAAGAATTGTAATTAATTAATAGGATCTAACTAACAATGTGACAATTTTAAATGTTTTTCATGTCATTTAGCGCTTAATTTTCACACATAAAGAATTAATCATAATAGCGCTAAAACACTATTGTATATTTGATTTGCTAAAGGTTCTCGGTACAAAACCTAATTATGTGGGTCAAAAATGTTAGAGAATAAGTCCCACCTATAATATTAATCATGAGATAATGAATAACCATCAATTTAAACATAATGGCATTAAAACTCAATAAGAGTAAATAATTACATTTTCCATATTTTGCAATTTGTGGATGAAAAAAAGAGTAAATATTTTATATAAAAAACAAATCATCAAATAGCAGTAATATGCAAAATTTGTATAAGCCTGCAAAGACTGGCAGCAAATAAAGGGGTTAGATACGATATGTTGCAAAGTCTAGCTAGATGATCAGTAAGTAGGGGGCTATATATATATATATATATATATATAACATGGAACCTAGGGGAACTCAACTTATTGTGAGGTCAGTGTTGTTGAGAGTGCATGTAGTTCGGGGAGTGTGTGTGTTTCTGGCAAAGCAAACAAGAATGTTTTGGTTTGTTCTGACTAATATCAAACTTTTGTGTGGGGTTTGGGGTTTGGGTTTGGGGTTGGGGTTGGGGATTCAGCTTCTCTTTTCTGGTTGTTTCATAACCAATCATGGTTTGCCACTTCATGTAACTGAGCTCTTCCCTTTTTCTCTTTTTGTTTTTATTAGTACGTGTTCAAGGAGAAAGATTGTTGGGGGTAATTAAATTACTATTATGTCCTTGCTTTTTGTACATTAGCAAATCCGTACTTGTAATTTAGATGGTAAACTTTTTTCCGTTAAAAAAAAAAAAATCTGATGGCAAACTTCATTATCTTGCCTGGGATTTGAATAGGAAATCCGTACTTATAATAGGAAACTAATATATATATCACGATATTTGACAAAATTTCCTGAGGATGAAGGCCCGTTCACTTCACCAATTCGAGTTTTGCTACAGTAAAAAGCTCTCACAAACAATCACATCTAACTTTTTTACTACAGTAAAAAATTCTCACATAAAATCACATCTTAACTCGAATCAGCGAAGTGAACGGGCCCGAAGTCATAGAACTTGTTTTATTTACTTATTTTTGGAGTGAGATGAAGTTATAGAAGTAATGCAACATTGGAGAAACTTCTAATCAATTATGGTATGGTTATACTTTTGAGCAGTGCCACAATAAAAAGGGGTATATAAAGAGGTCTTCCATCCTCTAACTTGGGTCTTCTCAGTTTGGAAAATCACAAGGTTCAAGAATAAAAATGAAATCTGGATTTAGCCCAGAATATTAATTGAAGTAAACGATTAAAACTATATGTACTAAAAAGTTTCACAAACCCCACAAATATTCAGAAATTGAGATGCTTCCTTCATATCCAACAAACAAGTATTCGGAGTTCACTTTTTAAATGAATTCATGCCCTTTTCTTTCCGTGTGGTGGGTGATTGTAATGTCGTAATAATTCATTTCTTACTGATTTATTTTACAAATCTCAAAAAATGATTTTTGCAATTACATAAAAATTAGATTTTTTTTTTTTTTTGTATCACAATTTTGTTGATGCATGCGAGGCATTTGAACTCTTTGCAAAGCTGTGTATTAAATATCAGTGTTTGTTTTATTGTGTAGTTGCATACTTGCATTTTATTGTAATCGGGAGATAACTCCAATTAATTTGACTTTAAATCTTTTTTTTTTCCCAAAGTAATCCTCATGACTAGTACTATGAAGTATACTTTTATCCGGTATCCCTTCTCCTTATGAACAGAACATTCATCATCAAGCAGAAAAATAGAAAGCTATTGGGGACTGTTGCTACAGGGCCATGTGCTCAAAAGGAAATTTATGTCACTAATTTATCCCATTAGTTAACTTTATTGTATGACTGTGTTTACAATGCCTCAATAATATTGGCTCTATCCTTTTTTCTGGTGACTGCTGGATGTATACGATGTACAGTGGGAATGGCTGATAAAGATCCTACTAATCAGTCCATATGGAAAAAATACAAAACTTAGTTCTGGGACATGCATTGCTCTAAGGCGAGTTTCTGAATCTTATGAAAAGGAAAATAATCATGATAATAACAATAATACAATTTTGGATGGTAATATCCAAGACACAACATTGGTATTCACAATTCAGTGTAACCCTTTGCACTCACTTAGTAACATGTGTAAAAGTAGATTTTTTTATCCGGTCCTGAGAGTTTTCCACAGTGAAATCAAAGGATACCAGGAGCTTACTATTTGTTTCCCTTTGTTCTCTCATTTTATTTATTTGTTTTCGAAATACAGGCATGAGCTACGATGACTTCCTTTCAAATTTTGGAGTCACCAGGTCCGCAGCCGCCCGGGCATTAGCAGACGCACGCTCTGCAGCAGCAATTGCAGCTCTAGCTTTCTCAAGGATATCTGATGTCCGTGGTACCGTTTCCCTTTTGGCATCAACAATTGGCACTGCATAATTATCATCTTTAACCGATGGCTGAATTTCAGTAGCACCGGGCAAAGACGCTTTATTTAAAGGTTTTGGAACTTGAGGTTGTTGAGGTTCTTGTTTAACATTGTTTGGAGTAAATGGATGCGCCCCATCAGAATTTGATGACTCACAAGAAATCTGCTTCCAGGGAGTTTGGGAGTATCCAGCTCTGCCACCTATTTGCTTTGATCCACCCTGAAGATGTCATTGTAAAAGCACAAATCAATTTTGTTTATATAGTAACTAACATGAAAAGCTTAATCATAAAAAAATTCCCACATTGCGCTAAAGTATGGATAAAAATTCAAATTTCAACATTATTATAGCTGAGTTTCAAAAGTTGGTCAAATAACCAAAAGCAATTCTCACTTCAATCTACTGGATCCTTATTAGCAAAAGTGACTATTAAGCTGAACTATACAAAACAGATAAGAAAGCTGAGGATGACTTTTACGAAGTTATAAGACAAATTACCAAATCAGATTGGCAATCCATCTTTAAGATAATTGTTAAAGTGTGATGAAGCAATAGTACCACTTTACATAACAGTAATTGTTGAAAAAGGTTTACAGCCGGGATAAGAGACAAGCCGGGCTGGTTTTTATCAGGCCATCCTAATGCTTCACTAGAACAGAAATTTAAGTAGATCGTAATGCAATTTCATTTGGTGCATTTATATCAAACCGATTCTAAACAGGAAAAATTTGGAACTGGACCTACTAGGCAAGGTAAGATTTTATCGAAGTTTGGTATGATGAACAAAGAGCGCCGAAACAAGCCACATTCCTTACATTCCTAACACATTACAAGCCTCCTACCTAAGTGGTAAGCCAAGTTATGGAGTCATTTGTCTTAAAGCCTATTACTCTAATTATTCCAAAGAAGTAGGTTTATACAAGTTACCTGTCAGGTGAGAAAATAAAAACTATTTTCGCTAAAAAACAATAGCATGGGTAAAGTTTGCAGTTGATAGATGATGATGGAGAAAGTTACAGTAACAAAATATTTGCCATTGACAACTGCAATATTGTTGAGTTACTTTTGACAGTTGAATGTTTATTTGGGAAACTTAAAGAAAATCAAATATTGGACTGGTATTCATTATTGACAATTTTGTAATTAAATGGCGCTTCAAACAGAGAAAACAATTCTGCTTGCAAATTCAAAAATTCACACTTTGTTATGTTAAAACGAGTAGAGTACAAGACTGGTGAGGATAGGCCGTTACAACTGAAAATAAGCAATAAAGAATTTACGATTGCAGGAACAAGAAAGAATTGGCACAGTGAGGGTGAAAATATATGCAGACCCAACTAGCCAAGGAACAATGTAGGTTTCATATATGCATACATACGTACATCCAAGGAACAATGTACATATCTATGCCAAGAAATGAAAGACATAATTAAGTACATACTGGAGGAAGAACAAATAACACATTTAAAACCATGTTTCATAAATTGGAGGCAAGAAGAACAGAAAATATAATGTCACAATCATCTAATGAAAGTTGTTTACATTCATTTTACCTCCTAAAGATAATTGACAGCTAAGAGTTTATTGGAGCGTGTGATCACGAAACAATCGATATTCAAAAAGCAATTAACCAAAAAACCTGAAAAAGTGAAACGTAAGTTTGAAAAGGTACCAGCAAATCGTCATGTCTCTTACTGAGTTCTGCTTCAGCATTAGAAGAATCCCATTTCAGATTGTACTCCTGTGCAATTTCTTTCAATACCTTAAGCTTTAGCTCCCCAGACGGAGTACTAACTGAAAGCTTTTCGATTATCTGTTGATACAATTTAAAACAGGGAAAAAAACAGAATGGAAAAACATATCAGTTTCTACAAGTATGGAAGATACCTGTACAGATATATCAGATATGGAAATGCACTAATGCCACTTAACAGTGCGGTTAACACCAGAATCAGGACGAAGCTCAGACACAGCTGAGACAAATTCCTTCCCGTACTTTGTAGTCAACAGATTCTTGATATGCAACAAATCCGGGACATCCGAACATCCCGGAGCAGCAAAAATTATGCTTGATATAGCTTCTCGCAGGTCTATTGGACACTCTCTGTTATGTTACAGATGATGGTTAAAAGCACTGCAGTTGAGAAAACATATTTAATCTGAAATTGAGTGTACTGGTATAAAAGATTTCCAACCCTTCTTAGTTAAATCAAAAGACCATGCTTACTATGAAAAAATGGAAAGAAAAGGTATCAGAATGCCATCATTATTCGACTATACTAGAAATTTTTTTTTTTGAAGAGGACTATACTAGAAAAATAGCAAAATACAACATGCATTTGGACGTTAAGATAAAAAATTGAGTATTAACTACGGAATTTAAAAGCTGATTTTAGTCTCTCTGCAAAAGATACTGAAGAATGCTATAAACTCATAGTTGTTTAGAATGAAATGATAGTATTATATTACATTTTGTACTCTGCAATCATTTTTGCAATTTCTCGTGGGTTGTAGTTGATTGATAGAAGTGATCATACATGAATTAGGAAAAGCATAAAGTTCTTAATGCAAAGATAATCACTCCTGATAGAAGTAAAATGACCCATCCACTTCAAATGTGTCAGCAAACCATTTCCAAGTCTTGGATGGTGCAGAACACTGCAATGTAAATATACAGGGTAAAGCATAAAGTAATACCGGGGCCAAAAACAAAGTTACATTGTATGCTGTTTGTATTTTGAAGTCATAAGGAACCTTTAATCACAAGTTCTCTATTGCAGTGACTTTTTTCTATCTCTCCAGTGATGGGAAGATATAATATTAACATAGAATACTTGGAAATCTTGATACTTCATCCAGGCCAGAGCTAAAGTAAATTCTATCTAATCATAGAAAGTAGTGGAAGCTGCTAAATTTATAAGCAAATAAAGTACCAAGACCTATCAATTACTGACAATGTGAGTAACTTTATAACACAAAGCTAGCTAGGATAAAATTAGTTCTCTGCATTCTCCACATTGTGCTACCCCCAACTGTATATTTGTTTTCAAAGGCACAAAACTAACTCGGTTCACAACCCTACTTAATCTACCATACCAGGGTGGCGCTCGGGTTGCTGTTGTGGGACAAAATGTTCATTTTAATGGTTGAAATGGAAGAAAGAGAACCCTTTATTCTACTCCTGGTTCCTAGCATCTGATATGTGTTGACAACTTTTATATCAAATATAAACTATTGGCATGTGTTAGTGCTCAAGAAAGATATCTCAGCGACTAAGATGAATGAAAACGGCATGACCCAAAAGAAAAAAAAATTGTGCAGCTTCACGATCAAAAGTACTTGGAAAAACCAAACCTACACATAACTGACTGCAGCTTCTCAATGAAGGTATTCCCAATTGAGTAGGCCAAAAATTGATAAATCATTAATCAAAGTATCAGACATACAAGATTTTGGTACACACTTGGTCCTTTAGTGCTTCATGATTTGAGTCACAATAGAAGCTAAAGCATATCATTACGCACAAGAAATTCACGAGAACAATGGATTTAAAACTTTACCTCTGGGTTTCAATAATGGGAACACGAGCAAGAAGAAATTCACAGAAGAGCTCTAATATCTCATAAGCAGCCCATGTATTCTGTTCTCGTATGACATGCTCCACCTAACCAAATTTCAAAGTAAGCAAAAAAGATAAATCTTAAAAATAAAAAAAATAATTAAAAAAAACACAATTCATCAGATATTTGCAATCCAACCCGAATTCGAGCAATAGCTTCTTGGCCAGTCTGCAAAAATTGAGCAATCTCCTTCCGCATGTTCCGTGTCTGCAAATCTCTCTTGTTTTGCAGCAATTTGATGCGCGATATCGCCAAATTCAAACATGTTTTGCTTCAAAATCACCCATAAAAAATATAAATAAAAAAATCTTAGGCTTTCTCTCAAAACTCCCTTCCAAGTTTCAAAAACAATTAAGCAAGATTTGACCCAAAGAATTTCGATAATCATAAAGCCGCAATCAAGTGCAGAGTAAAAGCTTGAAATCAGAATAGAGAATCCAATAACTAATTGAAGTTAAACCCTTGAATTATCGAAGGTGATAATTATCGAAGCTAATATCGATGAAAAGGTTACTTACCATTTTGCGCCAAAAACACCTCTGTTAAAGATCTGGTTCAAGAGAGACATGGAAGCCTAGCTTAGACGAGACGAGAGAGAAAAGCCACCACTACACTAGCGATATATATATTCACACACTAATAATAAAAATACAATAACGATCTAGCAGCGAAGTGAAACTGTTTTTGGAGACGATCTCGATATCATCGAGTTCAAAAGTACTATTATTACCAAATCGCATTATTAGCTTATTTCATTTTACCCAGTTTAAAATTTAAATTTTATTAGAGTAAAAAATTTTTAAAAATAATTACATTTAATTTTTTTATTACAGTAAAAAGTTCTTACATAAAATTACATATCAACTTAAATTAAAAACTCAAATCAGTAAATTAAGGCCCGGTTCGGTTGCTCTACTTTACTCGAGAAATGCCCACTTGAAAGTAAACTTTACTCAAGTTTGCATTTGACGTGTGAGAACTCAAACGACACTCAAACTCAAAAATTAATTTAAGTTACCCCGCCTTATTCGAGCTCACCTTCCCACTGTAACTTGAGTAACTTCTCTGTATTTTCTACAGTGAAGATTCCTGCCCGCTGTTGCTTTCTACAGTGGGGAAAGAGAAATCAATGAATTTTTCAGGCAGTCGTTCTAACTCTCCCGAATCCTCCACTGAAAAATTGATCTCTATATAAAGAAATCAAACAAAAAAAGAAGCCCAATCATCTATTAAAAAAAAACACACTAGAAATAATTTCAACAAGCCCATATGAGATTTATACAATATCAAATACCAACCAAGCAAAATCTTAAACAATACCAAACAATGTCCACAACACTCTGTAAACAAAATCTTAAACAACTCTATCCGGAGGTACTGTTGATCTAGATCACGGCAGAGCTGGGCGGGTCACGATGAGGGGGGTGGGTTGCGAGTTGTGATGGAGCTGTGACGGTGAGACTGGGTATATATGAGGGGGTGGGTCGCAATGGGGCTTGGACACGATTGGGGGTGAATGGTCCAGGCTGGGTCCTAACGGGGTTAGGTTGCCGGAACTAGATCGCGATGAGGCTGGGTCACCGGAGAGAGAAGAGAGAGAGAATGTCAAAAATGAAAGAGAAGAGAGAGAATGTCGAAAATGAAAGAGGAGAGAGAGAGGGAGATTCGAGAGAGGAAGAGAGGGAGAGATACTTGAGAGATATTACAATAATGTATATATTGTTGCCTACTTTAATTTATTAAATGAAAAAAATGCCTACTTTATTTTTAAATTTATTTATTCACGTTTATTTATTCAAATTAAATTGTATAAAATCAATTAAATGAAAAAAATAAAAAAATTTCAAGATATTATTCACAATTCAAGAATTAGTTCAAACAAACACAAACTCAAACAAATTCTAATCGCAAATCATAACTCAAATGTACACAACCAAATACAAACTCAAATTACAACTTCAACTCAAGTTATAACTCAAACTCAACTCAAATCTACACTCAAATTACCTAACTCAAAAACACCAAAAGAACATGCCCTAAATGAATCCTTATTTAACATCTGGCTGGGCGGGAAATTTGATTAATAATAGTTCATAATATTCTCAAAGAAAAATACACTAAGATGCCGTTTGTTTCAAAAGTGATGTTTAGTTTATGATCATAGTTCGTAATTTTGATATAGTGTTTTTCTCAAATAAAAGATTTAAATTTTTTAAATCAAAATCATAAATTATAATTCTGAATTCATGAAATAAACGTCATCTAAGCAGTATATTTAATACTTATGTTTGAAATCAATTATAAAAAAATTACATATTTTTTAATAAATTCTAATATGTCATCGTTTTACTTTTATTTTCATTTCTAATTTTATCCATTTTCAAATTTAATCTCAAATATAAAAATTTAAGTTACAATTCAAATTTTATTACAATAAAAAAAAATTAAAAATAATCATATCTAATTTTATATTAAAATAAAAAACTCACGTAAAAATAAAATCACATTTAACTTAAATTAAAACCTCTCTCTCGCATTCTCTCACTTTCTCTCGATCTTATCTTGTTTTGTCTCTCTCTCTCTCTCTCCTCTTCCCACTTCTCTCTCTTCCTCCACCGTTCTCTCACTTCTCTCCACTTATCTCTCTTCTCACGATCTTCCTCTCCTCGTGAATGGCAGACTCTAGCAACAAAGATTAAGGGAGCGTCGAAGATTTTCCTCCCTCTTCGACCTGCCGACATTGTCTGGTTGTCGACAATCTGGTTCGAGTTGGAGAACCGTCGTCCATCTCTGGTTTGTCCGCCGGAGATCTTCCTCCCTCTTCTCCCGATGTTGTTTGCATCGAAGCAACGATTTCAGAACTGTTTTCAGACGGGAGCGTTGGAGATCTTCCTCCCTCTCCGACCTCCCTCGTCGTCGTGCTCTCTCCGTCGCCGCCGTCGTCGTTCGTGTGCCGGCTTCAATGTTGCAACAGACGAACCAGAGATTGTCGTGATCTCTCTCATTTCTTGAAGATATGCGCCATATCTGACGTGGACGATGCCAGAGTTGTTCATTTGCAGAACGCGACCAGTTGTGGTTCAGATCGGCTTAAGATTAGTGTTTACAGAACCGTTTTCAAATCGGCTCAAGATCGGCATTTGCAGAAACGGTTGTGTTTTGTAATTGTTTTGGTGATTAGAGATCAGAGAGTTTTGGTGCATTTTTTGTGGGTTTTGTAATTTTTAACATTTAAGCTCGTTTATTTCGTGAATTCGAGTTTAAAATTTAAATTTTTTTACGATAAAAAATTCTTATAAATAATTATATTTAATTTTTTTATTATAATAAAATTTTTTTACATAAAATCATATCTCAACTCATATAATGAAACGAATGGACTTAAAGATTTTGATGGTTTCTTTTTTTTCCCATGATTTTTGCTCTTTTTGTTGTTATTTGGTTACTGGCGAGAGTTTTTGGTGCAGTCCGAGTTTGTGAATTTTTTTATTTTAGATTTTAAATTTGATAACTATTGAATTTATCAGTAAATATAATATTTATGATTAAAATTTTAGATAAATATAATATTTATTATTAAATATAATATTTATTAATAAATATGATATTTTACCGAGAAAGTCTTAGGTTTTTTAAATAAATATAGTAAATTTTATATTTATTAATAAATATGATATTTATCGGTAAATACAATATTTATCAGTTGTCAGAGTTGGTCGTTAGATTTTTGAATAAAAATGATAAATACAGTATTTATTAGTAAATACGGTATTTATCAGTCGTCGGAGCCTGCCGTTAGAAAACGGTCATCGGTAAATGCCGTCGGAGCCGGCCATGGCGGACTTGACTATACGGAGTAGGGGTGTAAATCGGCCGTGTAGGGTAGGGTTGAGCCGAAAAATTGAGCCTACCCGACCAGTGCGGGTTGAGAAAATTTTGAGCCGCGACACTCTCTTAAGTCTACAAACCCGCAACCTTTCGGGTGACCTCGGGTAGGGTCGGGTTACTCGGGTTGGTGATCTCAAGGACCACATGATCACTTTTTAGTCAATTAATCTGTGCTTGTTATAGAAGAAATCATTATCAAACAGAACATGTCTTTCCTTCAAGAGGGGGGTATAAATGCAAGGTGAATAATTAAAACACTCACTTTGAAATCAAACACTTCCAATATAAATAAAGAATGTCCTAATTCAACAACTATGGCATACAAGCATTTTTTACATAAACTGTGAATCCAAAACATAAATAAGTTAACAGTTTAAATGCATAAAGTCCATAAACTTATGAAAGTAAGAATTTGAAGTATTGGACATTGTTTTACCTACTTTGAACATGTTCGCCCGAGTAGGGTTACCTCGGGTTCATGTAACCCCACCCCGCGCCCCTACCCACGTAGTGCGGGTTAGGCATAATTAAAACCGAAAAGTAAATAAAAAATTAGAAACCCGTGATTTTCGAGTAGGATCGGCTCGGCTCGGCCGGGTTCGTCGGGTTCGGGGTGATTTCTTACAGCCCTAATACGGAGAAGAAGAAATTTACTAGTAATACGGTATTTATCAGTAAATATTGTGTTAAACAGTCACCGAAGTCGGTCAAATTTTTAGATAAATATGATATTTACTCGTAAATACGATATTTATTGGCAAATATAATATTTATAGTAAATACAATGTTAAACAGTTGCCGGAATCGGTGCCTAAATTTTAGGATAAATACGATATTTACTGGTAAATATAGTATTAAATAGTCACCAAAGTTGGTAGCCGGATTTTTAGATAAATATATATTTACTAATAAATACGGTATTTATTAGTAAATACGATATTTACCTGTAAATACAGTGTTAAATAATTGCTGAAATCGATGGTCGGCTTTTCGGGTAAATATGATATTTACTAGTAAATACGGTATTAAATGGTAAATACTACCAGTAAATGTAGTGTTAAACGATCGTTGAAAAACAGTTATTGATCGTCAAAAAACAGTCACAGGTTGTCAGAAAATGGTATCCGATCGTTGAAGCCTGCCGCCGGTCTCGTCCATTGTGAACTTGACTATAATCTACCTATTTTAAAAAATATGTTATAATTTACTATTTTTAAAAAAAATAGATGTTTAGGAGGAGTGAGATGGAAATGAGGCTTAAGGATATTTTTGAGTTTTTAATAATGTTTAAAATTTAAAATACAAATTCTGCTATAATTTACTATTTTTAAAAAATATACTCTAATTTATTAATCACTTTACTAATTATGTTATTTCCCTCTTTATCTCTGATCTCAATAAACCATTTATCTTTCTTTTGCTTTTTGCTGGTTAAAAAGGGGCATTCTTTGTGTCAAAACGCTTTCTTCCTACATCTATATAAGAAATTAATAGTTGTAAGTTTTGATCGAGTAACACTCCAATTCAAGACCCGCCACTATTTAATCGAGTCAAAGGTTTTGAGCTCGAAAATTTATTCAGACCGGCCGAAATATTATTGTTTTTAACATTTTCTAAAATACTTTTTAAAATTTTGGGTTGGCCCCTGGTTCTGAAATTTTCATTCAGCCTAAGCTTGGCGACCTGCACTTTGACCTCTAGAATCAACCGATTCCACTAGTGTAATAGTGAGGGTCTAGATTTATTTTCTGTCCATTCACAATCTAAGTTTTACCTGTTCATTACTGGTCCTTTATGCTCATCTGATGGGCATTATCACTTTTAATGCTGGAACTCTTTTTGTAAAGATGTGGGAATTTGAACTGTTGAGTTGTGAATGAGAGTTAGGACAGCTGTCCTTGCCACCATGCCCCCACTAATAGTGGTTCTCTCTTTTGCTTAATAACTAGTTGAGCCATAACATTTTATGTTTGATATCGCGCTTAAAACACGTAATCTTATTAGTAATTAAGTCCATTAATTAAGGCAAGAGAAAAAAAATATTTTAAAATAAAAAATAAAATAACAAAACATTTAAAAAATAATGATAATAATAGAAAAAGTGAAAAAGAAAAAAAACGAGGGGGAGGGTTGGTAGGGGGCTACCCCACGGCGGGTTAGAAAGGCAGCTTAGAAAGTGCTCTAAGGGAGCACTATAGATAGATAGATAGATATATATATATATATTTATCTGTAAAGGCAATGTAATGGTTATTGACCCTTTTTAGGAAAGATTTCATGCAGATTTAAGAAATATAACTTTAACCTACTTCAAACAAGCCAGAGAGAAGATGTTATGAAAGGAAGAAAAATTTGTAGAGTATGTTACTGGAATCATTAAAGTGAAATCCATGCATGAAGTGTACTACCTACTGAATCGGAGAGTAATCTTGACATGACGTGATCATTGATATTATTAGTTTGGATAGTTCCACTAAGTCCTGTAAATACTTGCACACATATCTACCTGATTCAAGTGGGGAAGAGAGAAATAAGAACAGACAGACTTCAGTTTGTGACTTTATTCTTCTTCTAGAGTCTCTCTCACAGAAATTCTTGGAAGTGACTCTTTTTGGAGATTAAGGAATCGACATACCACAGAAGAAAAAAAAAAGGGAAAAAAAAATTGCAGCTAGTATACCGACACAATGGAGAAGATAGAATAAGAATGGATGGAAAGGATTGGCCACGACAGAGCTTTAATTCCGTGAAACGGAACAATGGGACTCTAACCAAGTGATAATGTCAGTAAGGACTGTAAAAATTCTCTCATCAGGTTCTCCTTCAAGAATGCAATGGTAACCTTCTTCATAGAGTTTCAGAGTCTTGTCTTTGCTAGAGGCCTTCTCATACAAAAACCGGCTCACTTGGGGATCCGTCACCCTATCCGCTGCTCCATGAAGAATTAACAATGGAGATGAAACCTGCAAAAACCTCTGTAATTAGTTATTCATGATATAAACAAAACGAATTCATATGACAGCAAAATATTACCAAGAATTAACGAATTGACATAACCAAAACTCACATAAAAACCGAAAAACACGAACTGACCTCCTCCAGTTGCCTCTCAATATCACTAGTAGCCTTAAGAAGCTCAACAGCAGTTCTTAGTCGTGTTTGATCGTTATAGGATATCACGTTGTAGACAGCCTAAATAAGGGAAAATACAGGAGATAACAAGTTAAAGTCTTCTCTAGACACGGAGACATTTCACATCTCAAAGGCCAGAAAAAACCAAGAACGCCCAAATATGTTGGTGTTTGATCATCTCATCATCATGAGAAGTTACTTGCTAAATAGATTGAGAGTGATAAAGTAATATGATACGCAAAAGCATTTGCCATAGTAAAGTATTGCCAAAAAGCTGCCTTTGTTAGATTCTCGTACAATCAAGTAATGACTTTTCAAGGGTGAAATGACAAACCATTTCCCGTTTCCTCGGATCTCTGAAGGCCAGCGCAGCCAGATCTTTCTGTGGAAAAAGCTTTGCTTTAGGCATTACTCTTGACATAAGCGTTAATGCTTTCAGAACTGCTGGTGGCGGTTTCATGTCTTCTGCAATCTTGCAGCAACTCAAGGTCAGCAATTACTCTCCAGGGTAAATAAAAGAAACATATTCCAGATAATAAAGATACTTCTTGCTTCTTTCTTTCTTCTTTTTTTTTTTTTCTGTAAGAACTATGACAGAACAGGATATCCAATTTTATTTGATGAACATGTGGATGACAGGACACGATGCCTACACATTTTATCATGAAAGAAAGAGAGTGTTCTCTAGTAATACCACTAAGAGAGTGTTCTCTAGTAATACCACTAAATAAGTGAAAAGGCGTAGTAGATAATATTAAGAAAGAGAGCGTTTTGACTTGTATATCTGTGAGCACTTCAACTTACACTTGATATATGGAAATCTAAAACTTCAAGAAACTGGATTTTATTGCTCATTGAAAAACTAAAAGGAAAAAGGTCAAAAGTGAAACTCTTAATTTTATTTCATTCATCGGTTAAGTGATGGTGAGATCTATTGAATAAAATCAGGACAAATGAGATGAAATTTAAACTGTAAATCAAAGACAAAGCCAACTTTGGGTATGTATCCACTGACGGAGTAATAAATCCAAATATGTACAAGTAAATAGATCTTGCAAGAACATTTTATTTTACACAAGAAAAGAAAAATGAATTGATCAAATAAACAATGATTTTGCTCAGGTTCATCAAAATAAAAAACAGTAGTTAAGGCACAAATTTGGTGCAACACCTCTAGTTAATTAAGAGGGAAAGAAAAATTCAATTCGAAAAGATAGTTGATCAAAGCCTAGTGAAGCTCACTCCAGAAGGCAGAAACTGCTACAGCAAGCACTCAAGCAACTTCAAAATGGAAGAAATTCATATATTTTTAATTATTAATTATGCAATAGGTTGGTAAGTGAAAGGAAAAAGATAACCATGATTAGTTGAGTAAAGTTATAGGAGCCATGAATAAATTTAAATTTTAAAGTAGGAACAGGGAATAGCTTACTTTGCACATAGGGGCCACAAGAATCACTCCTTCCCATTCATGTGGTTCTTTGAAATGAACTTTGAGAGTAACAGCTCCCCCCATGGACTGTCCCAATATAAAACAGGGCAAACCTTTCAACTCGGGCCTTCCTGCCATTCACAAATTCGAAATAAAATCAGCGACATCTTTCTTCGGACACAAGATAATAATAATAATATGTTGAGTAATGGTCAGAACATAGGATGTCACACCTTTAATCTTCCTATAATTTTCAATGACATTGTCCGCTAATTCATCGAAGCTAGGGATGTAACCATGCAGTCCTTCAGAAAGGCCAAAACCTGGATGGTCCAAAGCGTAAACAACATACCCCGCCGCAGCAATTCGCCTGGCAATACCTGAAAAGGCTCATGTACGGAGCTCAAAATTGGCTTAAAAAAAACAAAAAGAAAAGAAAAGAAAGAAATATCATTGATCACTTAAAATTTTAATGAATAACAAACCTTCAAAGAAGAAAGTGCAAGTATCACCATATCCATGGCAAAAGAACAAGGCACCTTTAATTGTAACACCTTGTTCTGGCATCCAGCTCTTACAGAAAATTTCCAATCCCTTTGAATTCCTTTCATACCACTTCAATCCAAATAACATTCACACAAAAAAAAAAAAAGGAACTCAAGTTATAATAAGGCTCAATTCACTCATCTTCGTTCTTTTGATGTATTTTCTCAAGAAACAAACAGAAAAACAGATAATTTATCAAGCTATGTTATAATAATACAGAGATGCTTACCTCTTCTGTTCTGATCCCAGTAGGAGCCAACTACCCACCAACCCGTACCGATTCAAAAATAAGTAAGAAACCCAAATATTAATAAGAAAAATCTTTACATAACAAAAAAAAAAAAAAAACTCATGATCACTTGTAGCAAAATCAAGACCGAAAAACCAACCTTGAACAAGAAATGATCAAGCCGTTGCTGGACATCAGCGAAAGCGGACCGAACCCTTCTGCGAGCAGGAGCGAAATCAAGGTTCTGCGAAGCTATTTTGTTCAGCTCTTCGCTCACGCCTTCGATCGGCGACCTCTTTTTCGCCATTATTTTCAGGTGCTTTGTTGTGGAAGCTGAAAAATGTGTGGGTAATTTGGGTCTAGCTTTAATGGGTATTTGCAAGTTTGGATTGTAAGTTAGTTGGGTTTGATATTTTGGAGAGGAGAGAGAAAGCTCCGTTGGCCGGAGACGAAATTTGAGAGATTCCATAGTTGGCGTTTGTTGGCTTTCTCTGAAATGAAATGGAGTCAAAGAATAAAAACTATTACTACAAAGTGAAGTGGGTAGTAATGACGCACGAGAGACGACCCAATTGTGATTCGTGAAACGTCTCTCCTTTCTTTCTAGAAAAAGGTTTATGGACCACGTGTGCATTATTTTACTTGGCGTAATCAAATAGTTATGGACCACGTGTGCATTATTTTACTTGGCGTGATCATTAATGGGATATTTATTTTAATTTTGAATTATAGTTTTTAATTATTTATAGTGTTTTTTTTACAAAAAATTAAAATTTTAAAAATTAAAATTATAAATCATAGTTTTGAATCTATAATATAAACTAAACGTCTCATAAATTTTTATTTTGACATGTTAGTCTTTGCATTTTGAAATTTTTTATAGTGTTGGTCCCTATATTAAAATTGTCTAATAATTTTTGAAATTTAATATAAATAATCATATTCTAACTGTATAATAACTGAACGTTTTACATAAATAGTTACAATGACTATAAATAGCTTTTAACGAGTTTTAATAGTAATAAAAAGAAAATTTTACATATAATATAACTCTTTTTATAAAATTTTAAGTTATCAAGCAATAAACACATAATTATATTTGTTAAATTTCAGAAATTGTTTGTTAATTTTATTGTTAGAGAAAAAAAAATTATTAAAAGTCAAAAATTCAAGAGCTAACATGTTAAAATTAAAACTTTAGTGAGCACAATGTTATTATGCTCAAAATTCAAGAACTAACACCGTCGATTACTCTTTTTTGTTTTTTTCACAATTAGTTTGTGGATTATAGACCCGTTTAGTTCGTTGATTCGAGTTTTTAATTTGAGTTAAGATGTGACTTTATGTGAGAGCTTTTTACTGTAGTAAAAAAGTTAGATGTGACTGTTTCTAAGAGCTTTTTATTGTAGCAAAACTCGAATTCTAAACTCGAATCGGTGAAATGAACGGGGCCTATATGTTCCTAGGCGGGTTCAACGGGCGGTGTGCTGGTGCAGGCCAGTTGGAAGACAAAAAGAAATTCCAATTCAAAGCTGCCCAGTAATGCTATGGGTTGGGCAGGTTGAAGGCGAGTGGAGTGGGCAGGTAGAGATTTTTCTTTTGAAAGAAAAAACTGCATTTCATTAAACTACTAATAAATAGTCGTCTTGGAACAATATTAATCCATCAAAGGGATAAACGCATGTCTGAAGCCCGAAATTAAGAAAGTTCCTCGGCACACTAACAATGAGCGGATTGAAAGCTTGACTAGAGAGTACCCCTATCTTCAACATAAGTTGTCTAGCGCTGAAGGGGCTAATCGTCAAAACCCAAAGAAAGAGGACATCTACATGGCATAGAAAAATTCTAACCAAACTAAGACCATCCTATCGGCATTAAGCCGAACACTTAAATCTAACAAAAAATAACAAACCAAACGAGGGTCGAGTGGAAAAACCACCAATCTTATTACAAACACAAAAGTTACAAAAGGACAAAAACCTCCTACCACCGCTGGTAGAAACCTTCGGTGAAGGGCGTCTGGCCAAATGACAATCGAGGAAGATAGCCAGCGAAGAGATCTCGGCCATCAAGAAAACTCTCTTAAAAAATGAGACTGTCCATTCAGCTTCCAAGCTCTTAACTAGTTCAGATTTGCCCAACAGAGCCAACACACTGTACACTACCACCACCAATGAGAAGTCCACAATGAGACGAGTCAGATGACCAAATTTTACGGCCGGGAGTCTGGCGACACGCCAGGAGGTGGTGGTAGAGCTCCGGTCAACCTCTGCTCTCCAAGGACCTTCTAACTCTCTCTCTAGCACACACACACTCTCTCTCTCTTAAAAAAACTAATTCTATTAATATTGTGTATTTTTTTGGCAGGTAGAGATTTTGAGTTAGCTTTGTAATCCTATATCCTTTTTTATATATTAGTAAAAAAATACTCGACCATTTAAAACAACAGTTATACAAATCATGCGAAAAAAAAAGAGAAAAGTGGGAAAAAAAGATCTGAAGCAAAAAAAAAAGACAAAAAAAACTTGTGTGAAATGTTTCGCGACTAAAGCTGTAATTTATGAGAATCACAGGTAAAAATGTTTATGTAGTGACGCATTTGAGTATAAATTAATTTAGTAAGGTAATTAAAAATAATATCTTAAATAATCATAAGAAAAGTATTTAAAGGAAATATATTTGAAAGAATATAAAGATGCAATAAAAAAATTAGGAAGGAAAAAGAAGAAAAGAAAAAAAAAACTAAATTTTTTTTTAAAAAAAAAAACGAGAATAAGAAGCTAACAAGTAATAAAAAGGAAAGTGTCTCTTTAGTATTTTCTTTTATAATTTTTATATGGGATGATAGTCAATATTAAAAATAGTACGTTCTCTGTATGAACTTTGAAATGTTTAGGCATGAATGGATGAAATGTTTAGGCATGAATGGATTGGGTTAGGAAATTAATAGTTTAGCAACCTTAAAATTTCCAGTTGAAGTGAAAGAGAGTTTCATTGAAAACTTGTGATATTTTCTTGAGAAGTATCATGTAAATTGTCAATAACGAAAGTTTCACAAATTCTATAAGCAGTGAGCAATCCTTTGTTTCTTTGTGTCAGCCTTCATCAACGTATAGTAACTCACTAGCCCTAAGCAATAACTTAAAGTAATGTCATCTCTTAGCCGAAATAGGATAATACAAAGAAGATCAAAACTATAGAAAAATGATAAATCGAAATTGTACAATGTAAATTCAACCTTTTTACCAAAATTCAGAAATGAAAGTTGCAAGGATGTCGAGGCATGTGGACCACGTTTTCCTTAAAATAGATTTGTCCCCTCCGGCGTGTGCTTGAGGTTACGTTAGACGTCCGTCTCCCAGGATACAACGACAACGATGGTAGCTCGATGCACTTTCGGAACCGTCCGACGAACTAGAACTTGATCTTTCCTCTATCACCAAAAACGAACTAAACAAGACAAAGAAAACACACAACTTTGGAACCAAGAGAGAAACCGAGAGAGAGGGAGAGATTTCTGGAAAAAGTGTGATTTGTTCATGTGGAGTTTGGCCTTTATATAGGCTCCAAAATTTGGGTGTTACACCAAGACGTTTTGATTTTTCATGATGAATCCGGCCACAAAGCATATCCAAGTTCAAGGAAAAACTAATGCAATAACCAACTTTTATAATCACAATTAAGCTTGGTTTTAAGCACACCATTAAGCCCCTTTTAGTCACCATTATGTTCATTTACCCGCCATTATGCTGAGGCACGAAGCGGGTTTTCCGGTCCAGCATTCATGTCTGCAGGTCGCGGGCGTGCACATTAAGGCGCCAAACTAATGCAATAACCATCTTTTATTATCACAATTAAGCGTGGTTTTAAGCACACCACGAAGCGGGTTTTCCGGTCCAGCATTCATGTCTGCAGGTCGCGGGCGTGCACATTAAGGCTCCAAACTAATGCAATAACCAACTTTTATAATCACAATTAAGCTTGGTTTTTAAGCAAACCACGAAGCGGGATTTCCGGTCCAGCATTCATGTCTGCAGGTCGCGGGCGTGCACATTAAGGCTCCAAACTAATGGAATAACCAACTTTTATAATTACAATTAAGCTTGGTTTTAAGCACACCATTAAGCCCCTTTTAGTCACCATTATGCTCATTTACCCGCCATTATGCTAAGGCATAAAGCGGATTTTCCAGTCCGGCATTCATGTCTGCAAGTCGTGGGCGCGCACATTAAGGCTCCAAACCCGTCGGGATCGTGATTCGCACCCCCCTGCGCGTGAGAGAGTCTCTCTGGTATATATGCTTACCTAGGCTTCAAAGTGCAATCACTTATAAACACCACATTGGTTTCACTCCTAGCCAATGTGGGATTTTTGTAATTTCCTTCTATATTTACCATTCCAAGTAACATACTTAGACCATCAATTTCTCATTCACCCAAAAATCATTTTGAGTGTATGAATACTCGATTTCGATCTCCTCGTGACGGAGAACGCAACTCCATCGAGCCCCGTCTCAAAAACCTATTGGGCCCCATCCGAATATGGGCCTCAAAATGGGCCTTTAAAATGGCTTAACAAGCCATTTTTCCAACAATCTCTTTCATCATTATTATTATAAGTATTTTGAAAATAGCTTCACATTGGGCGGATCTACTATATAAATATAATAATGTGATATCCTTAGTCTATTGAATAATTTCTCACACGTTAATTGGGTTATTTTATAGTGTCTTCATGACACCTTGCTGATTCTCAAAATCTATCGTAATTCCTATAACTTTGACGTTCGAAGTTTTTAAGTTCTTAACATAAAATTCATTAATTCTCGTATTGCTCTAGAATTTATCAGTCTATTACAGCTTACATAACTACAACGTTTGAAATTTACAAGTTTCAGTATAAAATATATGAGTTATTATATTTCCGACATGTTATTAGAAAATTTTTTCCCAGCACCATAAAAAATCCCAAGTTAATTAATTAAGACATCGACCAATAGCCGAACATCTTACATTAAAAGGACGAGAGAATAATGAAAATCATAGAAAAAAGGAAAAAAGAATGAACTAAAGAAGTAGCATAAAAAGAAAATTGCGAGTGGGGCATTTAAATTGAGAAAGGAACTACATTCTTCGTGATAGAGTGACAATTTCTTTTGATTGTATCACAAAGAATGGCAACCTTTTGTCTCTGTTCACTACCAGGAATGCAAATTTGCAATTATACGACTTTTCTCATAAAGCTTTCCAAATTAATTCTTGTCTTACAAGAGGTCTTCCACAATGTAACTGTCGGAATACAATAGGATGCCAACAACGTTTATAAAGCTTAAAGCACTTGTAAACTCATGAAAATGAAAATAGATGCTTTTGCCTAAATAATTAGCTTTATCTAGGTCACTTGTCATGGGTCAGAAAGGAAAAAAGGGAAATTTATAAGAATACCATAAAAAAGACAAACTCTTTTATTCATCGCCATTAATATTTAAATAAAATATTTTTTATATTTTATCAAAATATTTTTTATATTTTATCAAAATATTTTCTAATGTCTAAATAATAAAATGATAAAAAACAACGGCTATTCTTGTAATTTTCTCAAGAAAAAAATCAAACGCTTTTAGAAAAGCATAAACATACGTCTCATACGTGTGCTAGCTTTGTATATAGCTAGACAGTAACAGATATTGGGCTAATTTAGTAGTGCTGTAGATTTTGAAAAAATTATTTTTAGCTGTACTGAAGGAAAAAGCAGCTGTTACAAAAAGTAACTGAGTATTTGGTAAACTGTAATTATACAAGTGTTGCTGATTTTAAAAGTAGTGTAATAACGTTTGGTAAATTGTGAAGTTGAATTGTTATTGGTAGTTAAGATGACCGTAATTAATAATTTTAAATTAATATATAAAGTAATTAATAATTGATAATTATTTAACAAATAAAAATTAATATATTAATAATATAATAATAATGGATAAATTATCATTACTGAGTACATTAGTAATTAAACTATATATATATATAATAAATTAATATACTAAATAATTAAAAAT